TAAAATGGGATAATTGAGAAAGCCCATCTTATAGGGTTTTGTAAAGTTAAATGAGATCAGGAATGTAGGCCTCTGAGCACAGGCCTGGACTAAAGTTGGTGCCTTTGCCTTTGCTTGGTCTTCCTGTGGCAAGGACACGCTGTTGTAGGCAGCAGGCCTTGGGGCAGTGTGTGCCTCCTGAAGGAGACATATGCTTGAAAAGAGAACATGGATAGGTCAGGGCCCCAAAAAGCATGTTCTTGCCAATAAGACCACCTCCTTAAAGACAGAAAATAGCCCATAAGCCAATTCTGGACACTGACTGATATTGCTCAGCCCATTAACAGTGACAGGACTCTAACTCGGCTGGGCTCCCAGTTGTTAAAAGCATGAACAAGTGCACATTTCCCAGGGAAGAAGAAATGCTCTTTGTCAAGCATCAGCCAAAATCATGGTGTGGGGTGGAAAGCACCAGCAAGTGCTCGCCTCTTAGACAGACTGGCTTCAACTTAGAGATTTGCCAGACATGAGTAAGAAATACAGGCAAGAAATAGACTAAATTCCTGTGAATGCACTCACCAACCAAGGCTGCTCTATGCCCCCAATGCACAGAAACCTATGCTGTGAGTGAGTTCAGGGTGAAACGACAGGCTAAGAAATACATTTACTAACTACATCCTTCCTTCCACACATTCTGGGACACAACAGTTTATGCTAAAATGAACATTTTACTGTGTCAGAAGAAACACTATTGGTACATAAAACCCCTATATTGGTCTCATAGAAATATACAACAGTAAGACTGGATAAATCTCATGTTTACCAGTAAAACTGAAATCCTCCCTAAAAATTTTGGAAAACTTTCAGCCAAGAGATTCATTGTGGACTAGTGAAATCGTTCCACGTTTAAGACTTTAGGCACTGAAAACTTCTGTTCTATTTTCTACGGTAAAATTCAATTCTAAAAAAAAAAAAAAGACAAAAAAAGGAGACATATGTAAAATTTTAGACAATAAAATAATAAAATAAAGTACAGTAAAATAGCAAAAAAAATGACAAGAAGGGAAATGATTGACAAAATATTTAAAAATATGAAAGAGTAAGGGAGAGGGAGAGATAGAAACATCAATGATGAGAGAGAAACAACTGTAAGTGGCCTCCTGCATGCCCCCTACTGGGGATCAAGCCCACAACCCAAGTATGTGTACTGATGGGGAATTATACCACAACCTCTGGGTTCATGGGTTGATGCTCAGCCACTGAACCACATTAGCTGGGTAAATGGCTGATGAACTTTTGATTTCAAATGTCTTTACTATGTGGAATATAGAAATAGCTTGAGACTGGTAGAATAACCTCTCCCCGCCCAAAGAGATCCATGCCCTAATCCCTGAAACCTGTAAATACATGACCTTCTATGGCAAAACAAACAAACAAAAAAACATTTTGCAGATGTGATTAAGTTAAAGATCCTGAGTTGGGGAGATGATCTTGCATTATTTGTATGGATGCGAATTAATTACATGGGTCTCTTTAAAATTAGAGAACCTTTTCCTACAATGGTTAAGGTATATGTGATGGTGGAAGAAGGGTCAGAGAGATGTAATTTTGCTGGCTTTAAATATAGAGGAAGAGGCCACAAGCCAAGGAATGTGAGCGGCCTTTAGAAACTGGAAAAAAAAGAAAAAGAAAATGGACTTTTCCCTAGAGCCCCCAGAAAGGAACACAGCCCCAAGAACACCTTCATTTTAGCCCAGTGAGTCTTGTGTTGAACTTCTAACTTACCAAACTGCAAACTAATACACAGAAGAAATTATATAACTTTTCACTAGTCTCTTTTATAATATACTAGAGGCCTGGTGCATGAAATTCGTACACGGGGGCGGGGGGGGGGGGCGGTGGTGGTGTTGTCCCTCAGCCCAGCCTGCACCCTCTTCAATCTGGGATCCTCTCACAATCTGGGACTGCTGGCTACTAACCACTCTCCTGCCTGCCTGATTGCCCCTAACCACTCTACCTTCCAGCCTGATAGCCCTCTAACCGCTCCCCTGCCAGTCTGATTGACACCTAACTGCTCCCCTGCTGGCATGATTGTCCCCAACTGCCCTTCCCTGCCAGCCTGATCACCCCCAGCTGCCTTCCCCTGTGGGGCTGAGGGGACTGGGGGACTCCAGCTGGATGAGGCGAGGCTGAGGGACTGGGAGACTGAGGCTGGATGAGGCAGGACTGAGGGGACTGGGGGACTGAGGCTGGATGAGGCATGAGGCGGGGATGAGGGGACTGGGCGCCACCATCTTGTGGCTGTGGGCACTGCCATCTTGTGAGGGTGTGGCAGTCAATTAGCATATTTTCTCTTTATTGGCTGTGGGCACCGCCATCTTGTGAGGGTGTGATGGTCAATTAACATATTCCCTCATTATTAGATAGGATTGTGTATTTACAATCATACACCACTTAACAAGTGGGATATGTCTTGAGAAGCGTGTCATTAGGCAATTTCATCACTGTATGAACAGCATAAAGTGCACTTACACAAGCCTAGATGGTATAAACTACTACACACCTAGGCTATATAGTATACTATATAGTCTGTTGCTCGTAGGCTAAAAACTTGTACAGCATATTACTATACTAAATACTGTAAACAACTGTAAAATGATAAGTATTTGTGTATCTAAACATATCTAAACATAGAAAAGGTTCAGTACGAATAAGGTATTAAAGATAAAAAATGGTACATCTGTATAGGGCACTTATCATAAATGGAGCTTGAAGAACTGGAAGTTGTTCTGAGTGGGTAAGTGAGTGAGTGGTGAGTGAACATGAAAACCTAAGACATCCTATATAATAAAGAGCTAATATGCTAATTAGACTGAACAGCAGAACGACTGTCCAGATGACCTTCCAGATGAAGCTGGGCTGCGAGGGCCAGCCAAGGCAGCTGGGGCTGCAAGGGCCAAGCCCCTTGCATGAATTTTGTGCATCAGGCCTCTAGTTACTATATAATACTGTAGACTTTATACATACTGTACACATAGGCTACACTAAATTATAAAACAATGTGAGAGCAAATCAAGTACAAGAAAAAATGACACAATCAAGAAACACAGGATGCACAACATGTGTGTGCTGCGGCTGGGTAACATGGCACACTGTTTACAGCAAAGATTTTTTATAAGTAGAAAGAGTACACTCTAAAGTAAAGATAAAAATGAAAGTATACTAAATATATAAACCAGTAACATAGTAATTTATTATTATTATCAAATATTGTATTATCAAGTACTGTCCATAATTGTATGTGCTATCCTTTTATATGACCACAGCACAATAGGTTAGTTTACATCAGCATCACCACAAACACAGGAGTAAGTAATGTGTGTACTAAGATATCACATACTACATGTTGGCTCTATTATAATCTTACTAGAGGCTCATTGCATGAAGAGATTTGTGCAATAGGCCTTCCCTTCCCCTGGCTGCTGGCACCGGTTTTCCTCTGGCACCTGGGACCCAGGCCTTTGCTCCGGATGGAGCCTTCATTCTTCGCGGCTCCAGACAGAGCCTTCAGTCTTTGCGGCTCCTAACGGAGCCTTTGGTCTTCGCAGCTCTGGATGGAGCATTCAGTCTTCACTCCGCCGCTTCGCCCCTACATATGCAAATTAACCGCCATCTTTGTTGGGTTAATTTGCATACTCTCCTGATTGGCTGGTGAGTGTAGCAGAGGGACGGTTAATTTAGATGTTTGTCTATTATTAGGTAAGACTAAAGGCCTGGTGCACAAAAATTTGTGCACTTGGGAGGGGTGTCCCTCAGCCCAGTCTGTGCCCTCTCGCAGTCTGGGACCTCTTGGGGGATGTCCACTTGCTGGCTTAGGCCCACTCCCCGGGGGACTGGGCCTAAGCTGGCAGTCAGACATCCCTCTGGCAGCCTGGGAACCCTTGGGGGATGTCCACTTGCCAGCGGGGAGCAGGCCTAAGCTGCAGGACATCCTTAGCGCTACTGAGGAGGTGGGAGAGGCTCTCACCACCACTGCTGTACTGGCAGCTGGCAGCCTGGCTTGTGGCTGAGCAGAGCTCCCCCTGTGGGGGCGCACTGACCACCAGGGGGTAGCTTCTGCATTGAGTGTCTGCCCCCTGGTGGTCAGTGTGTGTCATAGTGACCATTCATTCCCAGTCTTTCTGCTGTTAGGGTCAGTTTATATTACCCTTTTATTATATAGGATAGAGGCCTGGTATTTGGGTGGGGGCTGGCTGGTTTGCCCTGAAGTGTGTCCTGGACCAGGGTGGGGGCCCCCTGAGGGTCCCGCTGGGGTGCCTGGCCAGCCTGGATGAGAAGCTGAGGGCTGTTTTCAGGCTGGCCACACCCCCTTCATGATGGGGGTCCCTACTGGGGTGCCTGGCCAGCCTAGGTGAGGGGCTGATGGCCCTTTTCAGGCTTCCCACAGCCCCTTCAGGGTGGGGAGGGGGCGTCCTGCTGGGGTGCTTGGCCAGCCTGGGTGAGGGGCTGATGACCATTTTCAGGCTGGCCATGCCCCCCAGGGACCCAAGCTCCCAGCCTCTCCTTTTTTTCTTTCTTTTTTTTTTTTTTTTCAGTGCCTCCTTGAGTGGAGGCCAGGTTGGGCTGGAATCAGGTGTCTGGGATTTATTTATCTTCTATAATTGAAATTTTGTAGCCTTGAGCAGAGCCCAGGGCCTGCCAGGGCAGGCAGGAAGCTTGGCTTCCTCCAAGCCTCCTGCTCGCTCCAGCTCTGTGGCCGCTGCCATCTTAGTTGGGCTAATTTGCATACTTGCTCCTGATCGGCTGGTGGGCGTGGCTTGTGGGTATAGCGGAGTGGCAGAGTGATGGTTAATTTGCATCGTTCTCTTTTATTAGTGTAGATAGTGCCACTGTTCTATATGTAGCCTGTCATTGACCAAAACATCATTATTCAGTGCAAACCCCAGCATAGAAATATTTTACATTTTAATATTTTCATTGTTGGGTTTGCATCTTAGTTGTCTTTTTCTCATTTATCTCAGGGTGGCCTGGACTTCAGATTCTTGATGGGCCTCTAGATGTGAAGATGGAACCTGGAATTATTCTTCAGGAAGCTGCTCCTTCCCAACTGGAGAGGGCAGGAGTGCTGCTGGGCACCAGGACATGCTCCGTGAGACTGGAGGCTGCAACCATGGGAACTGGGCCATGTAGAGCAAGACGTAAATCCTTGAAATCATTTCAATGGAACATAAATATGGATTTAACATGAGGGCCACAGTTTTGGGGTGGTTGGTTCTAACTCTGGCAATCGGGATTTAGAGGGGAAATTCTCCAGTGTTAATGGCCTGCAGATGTTCTTTGGGCTCCAGTGGATAAATTTTCACCACTAATGGTTAATTGTTTTGTCAGCAGCAGAGTTTTGTTGTAGTATCTCCAAATGGTTGGTATTGGCCATGAGTCATCAAACAACCCCCAAATGAGAGCCTAATCTTGGGGTCACTTTAAGTGTCCCATCATACTCCGTTTAATCAATAATTGCCTCACAGTGTGACAGTCAGAATTTTCCCATTGTCTGACAATGGACAACCTGATGACAAGCAGTCACTGAACTCACATACGACTGTGATGTCTGATTTTAACCATGGCTGGTGTCCTGGCCAATGTCTAGGAGAAGGAAACAGGATATCAGATAATAGTCATCATGGGTGAATCAGAGGCAAAAGATTTATTGCAAATTGCAATGAACTACTTCATTATAAAATTTAGATTAAACACTCCTCTCACATCATAGACATTACTACAGATTCTAAATATATGTGCCAAATGGGGAACACTGAAGCAGTTCCTTTTGAGAAGCATCTCTGGGAAATTTAGATTAAAAAAAAGAAAATACAACTTCTGTTTTCTAGAACAATAAAGAAAGGTGACTATATAGTATCTATTCTAAGATATAGTTTTGACTAAATAGCATAGTCTAAAAATAAGTAAATTACTTATATTCATGTTTTGATTCATGTTATTTATTTATTTGAAGAAGGAGAACCATTAACCTTTACAGAAGTCTTTCCTGAGAATTGCCATCCATGCACTGTGCTGAACTCACGGGAGAGGACCGCGCACTGCGCCAGGTGGTTGAAGTTGGTTTTGTCTCAACAGGACCTGGTGGAGGCAGTTATGTTGGGACAGTGCTTTAAAAAACCATCGTTACTCACCTAGTCAGAAAGGCCTCCACTGATAACTTGTTAGTGAGTCTAGGTTGCCCTAAAGCTTCCATCAGGTGCTTTTACCTGTTCTTATATTCATGACTATGACTAGATAATTTATGAGGTTGCCTTGCCAGGGCTTGCGGGTTCTTGGGTAATAAGGGCCTGCACCACTTAGGAACTGAAGCATTTGTGTTCACTGACCAATAATAAAATCTGTATTTTTAATAAAATTATAATAAATCATTTCACTCTAGCAAGTCTTTAATCCATCTCACTGCCCCCCCTCACCTAGCGGAGTTCTTTAGAAGTCTTACTGCTTAGAAAGAGGAAAGTCCCTTTGCTAGGATGTTAAAACAAAGAAAAGATGTTACTACAGACTCTAATATATGTACATACCTCTCATAGGGAGGACATCTCGCCTTCCCCATGTTGTTTCCATTTTCCTCCTCATTTGGGGCCAGCAGACATGGTGCCCACAGAGGTTCTGACTGACAGGGAGACACAGTGGCAGTGGGCCCAGCCCCACCAGGGGTGACTGGCTGGGAGCACAGCTACAATTGACAAGAGTTTAAAAGTACATGCTTCTGTGTTCACAAATCCTCTCATCTGTTGGTAAGTACTTTGGGAAATTTAAACCAGACTCATTCTTATTAGGTATTCACTATTAAAGTCTTCTTACACTAATCCTCATCCCCTTTGTAATTCCAAAGTTGATAATCTCACAGAGCGCTCTCTAGTAACCAAGGCAGTGAGCATTAGTCCTGGTGCTCTGAGGAACCCAGCTCTCTGAAGGAAGGAAAGGCATCCCCTTCTAACTAAAGTCCTGGTTTTTCCTCCTTAAAATCAGCATGAAATAGTCTGCCAGTTTCTAGTGGTGTGATCTGATGTGATCTGATGTGACAAAGGGCTAATGGGAAAGAAGTGCTGTTCTAATATTCAATATCTCTTTGTCTTCTTATTCCTCCTTGATCATTTTGTTTAAAATACCAGTAATAATAACAATCATAATAATAATAAAGAGAGCTGGCATCTATTAAACCTTGACTTTGTGTCAGGTGGTCTGTTAAGCACATTATTTACAGTATTATATCCTCTGATCCTCAGAATAACTCAAAAGCAAGGTGTCATTAATATATTCATTTTTATTTTACAGATGGGCCTGGAATGACGACGATATTTGACATTTAGGTTAAGCATTGTACATGCTCTTCTCATGCTTTTAATCTGTGTTCATTGTTCTTTCAACAAAGATTTATTGACCACCTACTGTGCCCTCGGTCCTGTTTTAGTCTCTAAATACCCTGGGGAAAAACATGATCAATTCAACAAACCTTTTTGGCCTACAAGAAGAAAAAAGTTTATGTAAGAGCGGTAGGCTTCTGAGAAAACTAGGGAATGCTAACTTCAAAGTTTAATGGCTTCCTACTTCTGCCTGAGGGACAGTAATAAGAACCTCATCTCTCAGGTGGATGTCTGTCATATTCTTCACCCTTTCACCTGGGTGGTGGGAATGACATTTGGGGAATGTGAAATATTCTTACTCCGGGCTTTCTGCAAAGACTGAAGGGAGCCGTGGGCCCTGAAAAATGATGGGAGAATTTCCAGGTCTGAGAAAAGTTACTAATGTGCTTGGAATCCTGGAATCTCTATTGAAAGGGCCACAGAGTCCAGCCCTTAGGCCAACTCTCTGTCCAGTGAAAGATTCCCCTCTTAGTAAGTGGTCAGAGCACCTCCACTTGCTTACTTTTAGTGCTGAGGAACCCTCTACCTTACAAGGCAGCCCATTCCAGGTGCTAAAGGCTGTTCTTCACAATACTGAGCCAAAAACCTGCCTCCACATAACTTCCTCTCTTTGGTTCCAGCTCTGTTCTCTGATGTTGTGTCAGATAAATCTAATTTCTCTTTCACAGGAATGCCCCTGTCTCTAGAATCAGTGATTTCTTCCCCACTAAGATTTACTTTCTTGCTCCTCAAGTCTTCTTTCATGTGTTATGATTCCCAAACCCTTCACTCTCTAAGCTGGAGCAAAAGAAACTGGAAATTTATGGGCTGGGCTGCTCAAGGCTCCTTGGGAAGAGCTATTCACAAACACAGTAGAGTGTCAGGAGGCTGTGAAGAGCTGGTTCAGCCACTAGGACACGGTCAGAGAGTTGAAGAGATTTCTGAGGTCAGAGCATTTGAACTCCTAAATAGTGCTTAGGACACTTGGAATAGTCTTTAGAAGGCCAGGCTACAGAGTCTAATGCAGGACCAGGGAAGCAAATTGACTGGCTCTAAGACAATCCTTGCAGTTTAGGCAGCCATCTCTGGAGGGAATTTTATTTATAGGGAAGAAGAGGGTGAGTGGAGTTAAAGCTTATGAATTCTTTGATGTTCTAAGCTATCTTGGAAACAACAACTATCAAATACCCCAGTTCCTCCACCCTTATAAATTCGTTTTCCTTATCTTTTGTGAAGAACTGAAATCGAGAAAAGGCCACCAGTGGCACCCTGACAATGCCCACTTTACCTAAAACACCATGATGCCCACCATCCTCTGCTTGCTCTAAAAGCGAATAAGGGCTTTTAAAGGCAGTGTTCTAGTGATAGACCCCAAAAATCTAACCATAGGCATCTAGGCTATAGCAGTAATAAAAATTCATCTTTAGTATTCCCTGTATATGATGGTAAGTTATTTTGTGTTTACCTCACTGATGTGTTTGGAGGAATTTGTCTGTTCAGTGCATGAAGCTTGGTTACAAGCTCACTTGTAGGTTGAAAGTCGTGTTGATATAATGGAGCAAATGTTACTTGATCATGATTTCCTCTGCTTAACAGAATAACTCTTCTACTTGTTACTTAACTATGCTCATTGATACAGTTTGCCATGAGTTTAATACTAATGAATTCTTTACAATGCCTAGGGAGGGGGGTGGGTAGTATTAGCTCCATTTTGTAGGTCAGGCAGCTGAGGTTAAGAAACTGAGTTTGAGAAGGCATCAGTGACTTGCATAGGGTTTCATGGCTCTGAATAATGGAGCCCAAATAATATGTCAATCTTCTGCCTCGTGCAGTTCACAGTGCAGAATTCTTCAGAACATGAACTAATACAATGGAGGTGTAAGAATTAAATTCATGTAAGCACATTCTAATTCCAGATCACTGGAAAATACTAACAATAGTAATTTAACCCATCCACTGAACAATTAAAAAGAACAAAAACTTAATTGTCATCTCCTAAACAAAATAAGAAAAAGGCAAGTTTATACATCGTTGAAAATCTCCCCATGGGTTAGTTTTTAAAAGATATGAGCTCTTCTGTAGTGGAGTAAACACTCAATCATACTTGATTTTCTAGATCCTCAGAGTTTTCCTTTTTTCCTTATCTAGGTAATTTCAAGGACTCTGCTGAGAGGAAAGCATGCAAAATGCTTTTATTAAAGAAATGTTTGGTTGTCAAAAGATTGATATCACAAAGACGGAAAACAGGCCTGTCACTGAAATTTGGTGACTTTGAGGCCGAAGCCACATATCTGGCTAATCTCAAACAGGTCTCTCTATTAAAGAGTAACTTGAAGGAGCATTCAAGCTAACTCTTTGGAGGTTCAAGATAAGCTCTTGTTGACTGGATACAGTAATCTATTTTTTCGGGGGTAACAATATTCTTTTCACTTTTATGTAAGAAATGTGTTAGTCTTGGAATGAAAGAAGAAATTTATATCCAAGACTCTCAAAGAACTTTTCTGAGATTAATTGGTTTTGGGGAAACATAATGTCTTTGCTTCCATTCCACCGATATTTTAATGAGTCCTAATGGAGAATATTCCTTCTCCAAAGAAGGTGTACTACACAGAGGCCGAGTTTTTACTTGGCTCAGAGTCTGCCATCCTCCAAGTGGACAATCCTCCACTTTACGTTGAAACAGAAGAATGTGGGGAACCATAATCCATGTTAAGAGCATGAATTTTAAATATTGATGCCATGTACATCGAAGAGAGGAGTCTGAGCAATTGCTGGGCCCAGTGCCTTCATCTGACTATCTATCACCCACTCATCTCTCAACCAGCCAGCAAGCCATTTATTCATTCAGCATTGAGTAATGTAGGTGCGTACATTATGAAGCCAGTCCGGGTTGAATCCCAGCCTCTCATTTACCAGCTGTGTGACCTGGGACAAGTTATTAAAATCTGAGTCTTTAGTTTTCTCATCTATAATATAAAGAGCATGATAGCATGTTCCTCACAATGTATTGTAAATATATTGTTGTAAATAAGCTAATATAAACAAAGTGCTTGGAATAGTGCCTGGCACATAACTAGCAGTATTCAAGTGATTGCTGTTGTACTATTGTTTTTATTTATTGATGAAACAACTCAGGCACAGATAAGATGAGTAATTCACCTGTAGGTATAGGATAACTGAATCAGGGGTTAGAGAATCTACTTCTTTGATTGTTTGTTTCTCTTTTCCAGAATGTGGAACACAGAGCCAGAGAAGAGGGAAGGGGTGAGAGAAGTTTCTGAGAATTAAATTATTTTGGCATGAGAACTGAGTCCTGGGAGTGTTTTTGTTTTGTTTCTAATTGTTATTATGATTGTTATTTCATTTTGTTTTAATGCAAATCATTTCC